CACTGCTGAGCAGAATTTCCAGCTGTGGTTCACTTGCACTTTTAACCGAGGAAACTGAATCAAATGGTAGAGCGTGGCCATAACTAACAGGTCCGGTCACGCATCCTCCCGAATCGTTATGTGCGTCTGTGATAAGAAAGCCGACCACTTTGGTTTGACCTTTTACTGCTCGTGAAAACCAAGTCACAGTCAGTCGCTGCAAGGTGGACCTAACAGACGGTGACAAAACACATTTGAACTGAATGAGCGCGTCAGGTCGGAGCGTTCGGGAAACATTCAACCCTCTTATTCCGACAAAGTCAGAAATTCAGACCGCTTCTACTGTGAAAAATGCAGAGCGTATTCTCCAAACCGGATCGTTTCACAGTGGAACAAGTGGGCCCAGGAAGAAACCTTTGACTTCGGTTCTGTTGAGAAATTAGGTGAAAATGCTTGCGTCTTCAAACCCGCATAGCTCGTGCCAAATAAATCACGGTACAATAATCATTTAAAAGAAGTTCGGTATCGGAACTTGAACCACAAACCTCCAGGTTCAGAATGGAGACCATTACCTTTGGATCAGTTAAATTTTAACAGTTTTACTCAGACCACTGGAACATATTACTGATTCCCTTCACTGTTCAATGTGGGAATTTCACCCATTGTCACACCAGATTGCATTTGCAAGGTTGTTCATCTTCTGGTAGATAGAAACTATTACCGTAGGTTTTTAGCTGCGGATCCTGTGTTTTTATATTTTGTGACGAACAGCAAGTTTGAAAGTTACTATCACAAGGACCTAGTATAGTGGTCATGAAAACCGACGTTATGAACCCTGGGACTTGAAGTGGCAAACTACACAAGCCTCACTATAGGATAGATGTGATCTTGAACCGAACAGCAGCGGAGCTGCCTACCACTTGAGTTAATTGACGGTGATAGTGTTCGAACCTCGACCCAGAGCAGGTCAGTGCCAGTGACTCAAGCAGTTTGACCACCACCATCACCACCCAGGTATGTAATCTATTTATTTCTGACATTCACGGCAAACGAAATGAAGCAATCAGTAGTTGATAGCACTTAAGTTTCGAATATTGCTTCTCAAGAGGACCACAGTACTTCAGTCAAGACCAAATGCAGTACTATTTGTTAATCAAAACTACCACTGGATGCTTTTGTGTTCTTCACTGTTCTATGCAAAAGGGGTTGCAAAATAGCATTTGTTTTGACCACCGTGCTGATTATAGTCGGAGCGAATGAACTGTCTCATTTAATTTGACCTTAGACATGTGGTCCGCCGGATGTGTAATTGGAGAATTGCTTCTGGGACGACCGTTATTTCCTGGTGGCTCAGGTGTTGACCAGCTAGTGGAAATCATCAAGGTTCTTGGCACACCCACACCTGAACAGGTGTTAGAGATGAATCCACAATACAGCGAGTTCAAATTCCCCAACGTTGTTGGTTGTCCATGGGAGAAGGTAAGTTGATAGCTTATCTAATCGAAACGATCGTTGTCACACCCTAACCAAATCATCTTTTTCAGTTTGATCTTCAGGGTCAGCACCAAAACAGTGTTGTTCTCACCGTCTTCTATTGGCAGTTGTTGCTTTAGGACGAAGAAAGCTACATAGGGGGTCAACAGATGATGTCAAGACGAGGTATGAGGTGGTAAAAACCAGATGTATTTCTGTTGTGACCCATGGATAACGGTTGCAACCGAATGGCCCTAAACAGCGAATCCATCGAAGACACGATAGGACGAGTCCGAATAGTAAGTCCGAAACTACTCGGTGATCGAGCGCGAACCAAGCGAATACACCCAACAGTACACGTCCCAAACCAATTAGAGATACCCAGCACAATTCGGAACACGCTCCGCGGAAGTAGTATGATCCCGAAACCCAATCAAGGGTAACACGGAATGCAGACCTTCGGATGATTTTAGTCGATAACTCGTCTGTTTAGATGGTGAATGTTTGGATTAGCCCATTCGGTTTTTCACAGGCACCAGGCACTGTTGATGTTCGATGTGGGCTTCACTCCTTGGGAGATCGTTAATTCCCCACTGTTTGTTTGCATTTTAGTGCTATGGAAATGTGAGTGATAACCAATAAAGAGCACTGGACAGCTGTTTCGTCCTGTTTGGAACTCGTCAGCAGTGCGTACTTTTGTGTCCCTGTCAGGAATCGAACCGCGATTCTTCGAGCAGGGACTTCAAACCCTTACCCTTGGGTTACACGGTCGAAGGTTATCACCTTGTGCGAATGGCTCAGCCAATTTAGATAGTGAATGTTTGGATTAGCCCATTCGGTTTTTCACAGGCACCAGGCACTGTTGATGATGTTCGATAACTCTTCTGTATAGATACATTTTCAGGGACGATCAGCAGTGACCTTGAAAAATTGCTTGAAAGTTCGGTTTTTGCTAAACGGACCAGTCAGGGACTAGTGGTGTGAAATGAAGTCTTTCTGACGCGGAAATTTGGAAATTCAAATCTTATAAAAATAAATAGGACAGTCCATTCTGAAAGGGAAATGGGCTTTCCTCTATGGTCTTCCACTTTGGAGAGTATTCGACATTATGGAGGGCTCGATCTGTAGTTGATTCCTGTCTCTTGGTTTCGGTCGGAGTTGCTTACGATGCGGACCCAATTGTCGCCATCGACGTCAACCTTGAACAGGCCACATCTGCGGCAATTGGTGTTGGCACCTGCTACTCAATCAGGTCTAATGTTATGGTCATCGCGGATGTGTACACTGATGCCGTTCCTATTCGGATTTTAATGTGAATATGCAGTGTAATCCACATAAAATTGCGATGTAATTGGACCAGTTATGATAATTTTGATTACTTTTTTCTTTCTTTGTAGCATATTTCTTTACTTTACAGTGTCACAGCTCCTTATTCTGCACGTTTTTTCTTGGTTCTGGGCTAGTTACTTGTAAGTAGGAAAGTTCGTTGAATTCCATCTTTCTTGAGAATGTCGATCAAAGAAACAGTGTTTACAGGATCATGTCCTGTTTTTCGAGGCTTACATCATCCATACTGCACCACTCTACCGTCTTGTGAGTCTAGGGCATCATGGTTCTTTCTCATGCGAATTACATTCTCGTTCACATATGACTCATACCTCCCTCGTTATCAATCCGGTAACTGATAGCATTTGGGATACGCCTACACGAAATACAATTCTCCTATGATGTGAATGAGTTATAGTTGTTTTGAAAACGATGCGATACCGGTTATAATCTACTTATCGTTACCATCTTGTCCTATCTTAGAGCATCCATTGTTTATGCATCAGTTTGCCGGTCATTCTTTGTGCGCTACCGTTGATATGTGGCCTTTTCGCTTTCATTTTCACCGTTGTCCTCTACGACAGTAGTTTGTTTCGTAGAGAACACATTGTTTTTCTCATACTCTGATATCACTTCTCTCGTTTGCCGTTTCTGTGACAATGGTATCAGAAGATTCCTGAACATAAGCACGGTTAATCAGCCATAAATGCTTGTGAATCATTGTCTGACTGGTAATCAACATCCCCTCCCACCAGTGATAAAGTGCAATCGATGAAAGAAAGTCATTCCAGCGAAAATAACAGGCATTTATTCTGTCGCATCATTAGAATTCGTCTATTAGGTCTACAAAACATTACCTACAGTTCGTAGAAAAATATAAATCCTTTGTTTCAAAATTGGTACGAATCTTCCACTGATTGCTAGTGGTTGCATTTTAAAATCATGATTCTACCACCGCAGACAAATCTTTTATTCTAAACCTGCCCTGTATCCTCCATTTTTAGTTTGTTTACCAAGTATTTCTCTTCCGAAATAGTTGGGCGTAATAATTTAACAGGTATGCTCTTGGTCTAATTTTATTGTTTCACGGAATCCTAAGTTCAATGTGCATTGTATGATGCATATCGATTTGTGTCTCCTTTCATGAATTACGACGGAATGGTCGTTCTCATATGAATATAACTCTTACCCTAACATTCACTGTGTTTGGTGAATGCGGATTAAACTGAAGACTCATCATGATTTCCAAAACAACAAACGGAACGCGATTCAAGCGGCCGACATCCTGTCCCCTCCACTGCTTTTNTTTCTGATAGACAGGCAAGTGGGCCTAGTGGACTTCACCGGGGTGATTGACTTGTCTCACTTAATTGAACTGAAACCTTCTATTAAATCCAGCCGGGGGTAGTAACGTGTAGGACGTAGAGGGTTGTGCCGCCCTAGACTCGATCAACATGCACCACTGACATTGCCTTACTGGGACGGAATTGCTGTATACAGCACTTTCAAATTGTCTGTGTGAGGTAATGCGTACCACGTTGAAATTCATGAAGATTCAATCTCTAATCATTGAATCGCCAGGTAAGTTATTGACTTCCCCACTTTCCTTTATTCAGTCATGAAAAGTTGCATAAACTACAAATTCACACTCGCTAACAAAAACGGTTTTTGTTCTCTGTCTTTCATCTACTGTAAATTAGTTAATTCGGTATCGCACGAAAGATACGGCATTTGATGTGCTCCGAAAGTTGCTCGTCTACAGTCCGAAGAGCCGGGCGAGTGCCTCTGAGATTCTCTCGGACAGCTTCTTTGCGGATCTGATTTTTCCTCCTCCCGGTCATCCACCAAACGCCACAGGCCATCTGCCAAACGGTCGACCGGCCCCCCAATTTCCAGCCGATTTCACAGACGAGGGTACGTTTTGCGGGTATTGGAGAGGTGAACTGAATTGCCATCCCGTGCGGAATGCTGAATGCTAGTGTGCTAGTTGGATTGTTGCTTCTTTGGAGTATAAAATGTTCTCATTAGTGATCTGTTTTCGATACATTCGTTCTCCAATCATTGCTATGGTGTGTGCGGTTAGACACTCACTGGTTTTGTCTGTACGTGTGTGTGTGGCACCTAAATGTGTGTATATGCGTTACACCTATTGATGACCCGAGTTGGTTCAAGTGCTTTTATGAGCAAAGGTCGGGATTCAAAACTTGATGCAAATTACGTCAGAACCTGGTTGTCTTTGATTTACCAGATGATTGAGTTAAAGTGATTCAACAACAGCTGAGCTCTGACCGATCGCAGTTCCTCCTTCGATCGACAGGAATAACATTACTTTATTGGTGGTAGTGCTAATTATAGTAACAGTAGTGTGCCTTCACCATCTATGTGGGGCATTGATATCGGTTTCCCGGGTGACAAAAGGTAGTTCCTGGGTGTTGTATGTAATGTGCAATGTACGTGCACCCGCAGACAATTGAACGTTCCCTTTTTTTCATCATCCGAATTGCACTCATTGATGTTCGCAATTTTCTTGATTTAATCTTAGTTGGGCAAACAAACCAGAATCAGTGGTGCTCATTAGTTTGAGGAACACGAGTGCCAAAAAATACGATAAGTGCTTATATATATATATAGTACTGGCTGATTGTGATGCACTAAAATATTTGCTTTGTGATCAAATGGAGTTTCATTATATTTATCACCTGTATTAATGCTTTAGGTATAGACAATATTTTATATCTTGTCTACTTCGATCTACGTAGTTTCTGGGCTGCATGAATGTCATTTAAACGTGCCCCACCTTGAGTGCCAAGATTAAATAATCTCAACATGAAAACCACAAACTTTGTCAAGTATCACAACGCAATATTTTATAATAGGAATGACTCAAGAGTTATCCTAAATTCTTCCCACAAACCCTTGCCATCTCGGTTATTTGTTATGAGGTAATATTTTATCTAATATATAATTTATTATAGCCACTGTATTGGATAACCAAATGAAATTCAATCACAACCCAGAGAAATTGCAATAAATAAGGTTTCATAATAATAATCTATGTTTGATATCTAACTCAATGAATTCAGTCAAAGTCAACTTTGAAACCAAGGTCGTTTTTGTGCACAGCTTTGAATGCTCGTATTGTTGTCACTATAATGAGGAAAAGAGCGCTTGAAACTAAAGGTTCCCGTTATCTCAGTGAAGAGGACAGAAGCAGAATTGTACGAGCAGACAAACTGGGATTTTCCGTATCAAATCTTGCCCAATGCCTTAACGTTAACAAAAGCACAATTTACAAGATAATCCATGGGAAAACAACAACCAGAACAGCTCGTGGAGGCCGTAAACCGAGTATATCCAAACAGGAGGACGATCTGATTCGTATTACTCTGAAAAAATAGGAAATCGGTATCGGCTATCGAACGGGAAGATCTTCCCCGCCGCTCATTCTCCCTTCTGCAAAGAAGAATGAAAAAAATTAAGATGCGTCAGGTTTCAGCTGACGACAAGCCAGCATTGAACGCGCAGCAAAGGTAGGCTCTTATTGATTTTGCCCCAGAATTCAAATCTCGTCGTGCGTCATTTTGGCGATCGGTTTATTTCGCCGACGAGTGCATGGTGTGCGACGAGCCTTGGAAGGCCCACAAAAAAGTCATTTGTGATGAGAATTTCTCAAAAGAACTTATTCCACCAAATGAAAGAGTTTTTCACTCGTCGAGATAACTCATTTGGGCAGGGATAAACCATGGTTAACCTTGTCGGTGGACATCAGTCAAAGGCACCATGAATAGTGGAAAATTTGCATCAGTAATGACGAAACTTTTTCCAGAATTTCATGAAAAAAAAATCGTCCGAAAAAGTTATCCTTTTTCAGGATAACACTCCGTGACCTGTTTCACGAGAGGTTAGTAAATTTAATAATTTAGACAGTCTGGTTCTCTTATTGTTTGCTTTTAGACTTCAGAAAAGATGCGTGACTCCAAGGTCCAGTTCATGCAACTTCCCCTAATAGTCCGGATCTCAATGTGATTGAAAATCTGTTATCTGTTTTGATGAGAGAGGACAATGTGCTACCTATACATTGGACATCGGATGCAAAAGTGCGATACGTAATGGAGCACAAAATAGAAAATGACCTAATAACAAAGTTAGTGGATTAGATGCCGAAGGGACTCGAAAGAGTCCTAAAGAAAATAGGCAGACGAATCGACTATTAGTGTACACAAACTTCACATCTTACTTATTATCAATGTTAATTTGTTGTTAATAAAAACTGTTTCATTCTCGTTAGTTAACTCTTAACTCCTCATGGTCTAGGTCAACCACTACTGACGAAATGGGAGTATCCGCTACATTATGAACCATTTCATCTGCTGAGTATAAAC